GAGCATCCCAGTCATGTTAGCAGGATGAGTCTCTCTCCGGGCTCCATGGGAGCAGCGACACTACTGTCTCTGGAGCCCAAAGGTGCTGAATCTATCCTGGTGAAGATTTCAGTGAAAACCAGGTGACTTCTTCAGGCATATGAGTCCTGAGCCTGATGAAGAGCCTGTCACCTCTTCCTTAGATAGGTGATGAAGGACCTTTGGTGGTGAGGGAAGCCCAAGCATGCCCTCATATAGCGCACTTAAAGAAGCTGTACTGAACCTTGCTTAGCTCATTACCCTTTTTACAACCCTTCACCCAAAAGGCTCCCCATGGAGCCCAGGTGCTTCTCAGGCTGTACAGTTACAGGGGTTGGGTCTGTCACAGGTTCAGGTCTTTGCACCTGAACACTCTGAGGTTCCTACTAGCCCATTCCTGCAGCCACTGAGGTCCCTCTGAATGGTGGCTTTGCCTCGCAATCTGGTGCCATCCATGTGCCACACAGAGTGCCAAAAGGGCAGCTCCTGCCTCTGAGCTCTGAAGGTGAACCCATCAGAGCCTGCAAGCCCATCTTAGCACTTCCTCTGATTGAGCCCAACCAGCAACAGGTGGATTTCAGGTTTTATAGGAAATGAAAACTTTCAATTCACCATGATGACATCTTCTACTTCTGCCCTGATGTATGGTCCAAGGATGCCCAAGTGCTCATCCAGCTCTCCCCTCACCAGTGGCTGCGTGAAGGAATCATCCATGTACTCTCGGAAAACCACCTTGCGGTACCGCTGGAAAGGCTTCCTCCTGCCACTCCAGGGGTCCCTGCTGGGGTGAAGGCAGTTAAGCAAGTCAGGTGATACTGTCCCGTAGGGAGGGCAGCCATGGCAGGGCTGCTGCAGGGCAAGGGTGATGCAGAACCTAGAGCATCCCTGACCCACTTTCAATGAAGCTGAAGGTTGATGGAGTTACAAAACTCCCCAGATGGAGGGGAGATGCTGGGAGCATCCTTGCCCTGGGCTGCTTGGCTGGATTATACAGTCATAGACCTGTGATCCTGCCTGTCAGGACATGACAACTCATGCATCAAGCCATGCCATGCAGTGCAGGAGGAATACATGAGGGACAGTCACACTTACATGGCTTTTAGGAAGTGCTGGGGTCTCTGATTTCCATATTCCCACATCACCTCCACTGCTGCAATGAAGTATTGCCGTACCTCCCCCTGGAAGGAGCGTGGGTCATGCTCCTTTTCCCCATAGATGTCAAAATCCTCCACAGTTTGCTCTGTGTTGCCATACTCGTCGTAGTCCAGCTTGTCAGCCTTTGGCCTCAAGGGGCTGGAATGGGTCCTGTTGTTCAGAGCCGGGCTCTCCCTATGTCCAAGGGCATGGTTCTGCTTCCCAGCTGTTTTGTTGCTTTCTTCATCCTCCTTGGGATCTCCTAGGCCCTGGCCCTCTCTCTTCGTTGTCTCTCTGAGGACATGTTCCTCACTGAACAGCTGCAATCTATCTGGACTGGTTTGCACATAGTTGGCTGTTTTTTTGGTAGTGCTGTGGTTGTGAACAGGGCTGCTTAGAGAGAGGGAATAGTTGTCTTTGGAGGCTGCTTTCATAGACATTTCTTCTGGGCTTTGCCCAGACATGCTCTCAGCCAGATATTTCTCTGTGGCCTTGAGGTGCTGAGGCTGAGGACTGAACTGCCCCAGCTGCTCCACAGAGTTTGTCTCCTCCTCCATCTGGCTTCTCTCCTGAGTTTGCTTGCTCCCAGGAGGCTCCCAGAGAGCACCTCTGGCTGGCTGCAGCTCGTCCAAAGCTGGGCTCTGCAAGCCCCTTGCATGACCCACCACCCCCAGGGAGACTGGGTCCCAGTTTGAGGCCAGGTCAGCAGCCACGGCAGCAGCCTGCATTTCTGAGCTGCTTGCTGCCATCGCCACCTCACTCCCCAGTGCTCTCCACATGGGGAAGGAGCGTCCACCGTGCTGGGCTGCCTCACTGCTACTCTGTGCACCCTCATCTGTGCTTGACCGCCCCTCAGGATGCATCTCGTCAGCACTATCTGCAAGCAGATCCTGTGGAGCATCCCTGCCCAGGTGCAGTGTCGCCTCAACCATGTTTGATATTTCTTCCAGGCTTTGCTGGGCCACCATCACCTTGGACAAAGTGTTGCTTGACCTCTTTTTGAAGTGAGCACTGCAGAAAGGCGAATGAGTTCCACACATCTCTGGGGCTTTCTTATTCACCACTGTCTCAGGGGTCTGTCTGGCCGGATCCTGCTCTGTTCTGTTACCCTGAGAGAGGGGCTCCCTGCTGCCAGGCCAACTGGTGTTGGGAAGACCCAGATCATGCATCAAACCTCTGCTTTCCAGTGACCTGGCTTGTCGAGACCTCCACTCAGGGCCACTCGTGCTTGGGGGTGGATCTCTGTGCCTCAAAAACTGCTCAGGGCTGTTTAAGAAAGCATTTGGGAACAGTCTTGTGTCATTGGTCATGACATTTGATTCAGATAAGGCAAGACTGTTCATCTCTGGCATTTCCTTGGTGGCTGTAGCATCTTGAAACACTGCCTCCAAAATTAATTCATCCCTCTCTTCCGTCATTATATAGCTGGAAGGCTCAAGGTCATTGGTGTGTGCAAAGGTGGTTTCTACAATGCTTGTGCCTTTGACCGGTTCACTGGTTTCTTGTTCTGTGCTACTTTTTGCAGGCAAGGAGTTATTCTCATCTGTGAGGATTTGTTCTTCTGTAGCTTTGCTGGGTCCCAGATCTGAGAAAGAAACATTTTTCCCTTGAAAAGATTCATAAAAGTCTTGCAAAATAGCTTTGTGATGTCTTTTTTCCAGCCTAGCATCTAGTTCATTTGATGAATAATTGCTTTCTCTGGTGTGACTGTGAGCCACAGCATGAGAAGTCCTCTTGTCTTCTGTCTCATCTGAAGATGCAGAAGGATTGTCCAGTGTGGAGGAAAAGTTATGATCAGTACTTAAAGACAATTCTGTATTGGTTGTCTCATTTGACTCATGTAGATCTAAATATATTTTATCAGCCTCTCTTAGCAAATTGTCCTCAGCATCTTGTGAAGACATGTCTTGAAGTCCCAGATTGTGCTCCAGGACATTCTGGTGAAATGAGCTCCTGTTCTCTTGAAAAGGAGCTTTGCTAGCAGCATAAGCTATTGAGTCCCACAAGCTTGTTGCATGAGAAGTTGTTTTTTGAGGCTCTTTTTCCAAGATCTCTAATGTACTACCAGTCTGAACCATCATCCTTTTTACTGACTTCTGTGCCTCTGAGATTTTTGTCACCTTCTGTCGTGCCAGAGCATCTGGTGTGGCTTGGTGCAGCCAATGCTGACCTTCTTCTGAGCTCACAGTATCATAGACCCTTCCACTGACACTTGCCAAGTGTTCCTCAGGTGGGAGAGCTCCAAACCTTTCATCCTGGTTGATGGTTTTTGACAATTCCTCTTCATCTTTCAGGAAGGATTCATAGGACACTGGCTCATAGTTTGTTTCTGGCAGAGAAGACATGGAAATAGCAGGTGGATGTGAGATTGTTTCTAAAAGTGTTGACGTGCCATTGGAAGGGGGATCAGAAATCTTGCCATTGCTCAGGAAGCTGCCATGCCTAGGCTCTGTCAAGCACAACCTTGGCTCCTCTGTCTCATTTCTGGAAGAGATGACGTCCTTCATTTGCTCATACACACATGGCCTGCGCCATCTCTTTGTTTTAGAGAAGCCCCTGGGTTGGAAGTCAAAGGCACCCTCCTCCTCAAAATCCACATAAACTTCCCCATCAGGGTATTGCTCATGCTGGCACTGTGAGACTGTGAACTTGGCACGCATCCCTCGGTCTCTGAAATCAGGATTCAGGCACCCCAGCATCCAGACGCCTGTCTCAAGAGACGACAAGAGAACACCATCAGCCCACCACAGTGGGAAAATCAGAAGAGCTGCCATCCCCATGCCACTCCCTTGCTAGTACAACTGATATTTTCAAGCAGCCTCTGGTTCATGGCAGTGATTTCATGTTTTCATAATGCCTAGATTATCTTACAGCTGGACTCACAAGACATCACGGTTGCTGGCAACATCAGAGCCAGTCCTGACAAGCACCATCAGCAGGGCTGGTGTTTTCTGCCAGAACTTAGCAAGCTACACACAGTCGTGAGGCCCCAACAATAGCTTGGTGAAAATAGATCATGCACGGAGAACCCACGGAGCCTCTAGGATTATTGCCAGCAGCAGAGTAATCACCATAATTGCCATATTCCACTCCCCAAAGACATGCTGGTGCTGTCAAATACAACTCTTTCCCAGACACAGTCGTCATGTCTCTCCCACTCGAGAAAGAAATGAAAAGACTGCCTCTTGCTCACGTTCTCAGGCAACATGTTTACTCCCTGCAACAAGCACCTCTTCTCCAGCTGCTAAGACTGGGTGAGGAGGTGTGTAATAACCAGCTCTGCTGCTGGTCAAGCTGCTTGCCTGTTTCAGATCAGCAGGCAAAAATCAGAGCTCAAATGTACGCAGTGTTTGGCTGGGTTTTAGAAACTTCCTGAGGTATCTAGACACCCTGTCAGCTTGGCTGAGGGTGCAGGGCTCGTGACCATCATATCAGTGTTTGCAATCACATGGTAAATTCTGTGTTTCCTCTGTGAGTGAGGAAAAGGTTAATGGCACAGCTTTTGCAAATGCTAAGGAAAAAATGCTGAGTGGGGGGAAATAAAACCAAACTCTGAAGCAAATCCTTTCTAGGATTGCTCCATGGCTGCAACTTCCATCCTTGCAAAGGTGTGGAGATAAATGGCAAGCTGTGACCAACCACTGAACCCACAGCAGGGAGAGCACTGCCACTCCCCGTGACCTCCGAGCTCAGAGCCAATGGTGCAGATGCAAGGTCCACAGGGCTCATGTTACTGCGGCCAGCTTACTGAGTTGGTAGCATGTGTGGCCTTAATGCATCCTATTAATGAAGTAAAATACAGTAATTTAATTTCTTTGATTTAAGCTTTGGAATGTTTTTGTCATTGCCTCTCACGTTGCTGTTCCAGCAGGTTGTGCATCCCTTTCCTCTCAGGGCTGCCAAAATGCAATCAGATACCAGAGACCTGGCTCAAGATGCTCGCTTATCTCCACTGTGATGTCAAGCCCATGATTTATAGAATAGCCCATGTTACTAACCTGGCTTTTCCAAACTCATGAAGACTGTTTCTCCAGAAAACGGGAAAAGGGTAAGCACATCCTCAAATACCGTGTTGTGCTTGAATGTGTTTCCAGAGAAGAAGATGGAGAGGAAATCTGTTTGGGCCCCAACACTGAGGACATACCAGTACACAACTTCATGCAGGCAGAGTTTTGGGTGGAGGTTGTCAAACACAAAGCCATTAATAGCTGGAAGAGAGCAGAGGTGAAATATTTAATCAGGAGCTGATTCCCCGGTGGCTGCCAAGCTGCTGCATGTTCCTTGCTTGTTCCCTGGGGCAGGGATGAGCCTCTGTCTGCTGGAGCTTTGCAGGGAGTCACTGGCTGACCACTCACCATACATCATGTTGGACGCATAAAACTGTGGGTCCTGCTTATCCACATGGGCTGCGTCAGTGCAGAACCGCCTGATGTTCTCCTCCAGGTACCAGCTGCGGTTCTCATCAAAGACTGAAAACAGCACCAACCTCGTGTTGTCTGACATTATCTAGAAGATGGAGAGGGAAGTGGTTATTCCTGGTCTGATCAGAGCATCCCTGGGGCCCAGCATACCTGCCAGGTCTTAGCCTGGGTGCACGGGTAACAGTTTACTGCTATTTCACAGGAATTAGGGTCCAGGTTTGGAGACAAGGGGACATACAAGGATGGGGAAGGCAGGGGCATTGGGACTGATGGTAGGGTTGAAAAGAACATAACAAATTTGGTTTTACTCAAATATTTCACCCTTCACAGTTATTCCAGCCTTTCAGCCTGGCATTTGAGGGGACAAAGGAAAGACCCACCTGATTTCCCCTCTGATCCATGGACTTCTTAAAGCAGATCAGGAGAGGACCAATCAGGCCTGAGGCCATGTCTCGGACTTGGTCGATGGAGCTGTAGTAGAAACGAGTGAGGCAGCGAGGATCCGCCTGAGTTGGCCCATCCTCAGTGGTGACCCTCCAGCTGTAGGTGAATGACTGGCCAGGGAAGATAGGAATGTCTTTCACATCCTTATCTGGCAACACACAGCCCAAGGGCAAATCAGTTAGGTCTGGGCTGCTTCTGCAAAAGGTGATCCCACTTTTTAAAAGCCCTCAGAAACGAGGTTTCCTGACCAAACAAGTTGTATAGAAAACTACCGAGCCTCACACCCACCCTGGAACAGCACACTGGCTGCTTGCATGGAAAGGTGATCTAGACAAAAGGAGCCCCTGGGACCAGGTGAGGATGGAGAGGCATGTGCCTAATTTTGAAAGCCCTTAAAACTCCTGCAAACTGGAAAATTTACTCAGTTTCAGCTATGTTGGGCTTCCTAGAGGAGTTTGCAGATGAAGGTACAGAGCTGGGCAGGGCGGAACTGAGTGAAAAACAAAGCAAATAAAGAGATTTTTAAGCAAATACAGCTAGACTATGAGAAAAGCAAAGAGAAGATCTGGAAGGAACAGAAGGAAAACTCAAATGCAAATAAATCCTCTGAGTATTCAGCAGGATCTTGCACTGACATAGCCTTAGGAAAAGACTTTTCTTTGCTCCAAGTGCCCAGCTGAGCCACTGTAAGAGCATGGTTTTCAAAGCTCATGTTCCAGTCAGGGTAGGAATAGCTCCTTTTATTTATACTCCCTTAAAGACCATCGTCTCTGTGGCTCCAGGAACACGACTCGCCCACTTTTACAGAGTTGAATTGCTGGCAAAGCTGGCGAGCCATATTCGGCTAAGGATGTTGATGGAGGAGCAGGGGCAGGTCTCCCAGCTCTTCTGTGTGGCTCGGCTCCTTTAGTTCTGCCAGCCAATGGGCCACCTTGCCCTTTTGACTCTCCTGAAGGAAAACTTTAAATAGTAACAGGTAACAAAGCTGACCTAGTTTGCTCCTTAGTGAACTTGAACTCCTTGGCGGCTGCCATCTCTGCTGCAGCAGAGGAGCTTTTCTTCAGCCTCTGCAATTGCTCCCAACATTGTGATGTACCCAAAAGGTCGGAGAGGAGGAGGGTAGAGGGATGGGGCATAATTTTGCCCTGGTGGGATGGCCTTGCACAAGTCACGATCCTAGAAGCATGCCAGCAGGGGATGAAAGAAGTTCTGGGAAGGGGACATGATAGTTCAACAACCTTGGAGCAAAAACCACGATGCTGGGAGAGGGGGATAAATCCCTCATATTAAAGTTGGGCAGTGGGGAGCCCAGGGAATGAGGACTGTAAGCAAACTGGCAAAAACAGGCAGGATCACCAGGGCGGTTCCTGCCTCATCAAAAAGTGAAGGGCTCCAGGATGGACTAGACAACATGGTCCCAGCTTCCTGGTTGATAATGCTCCTTCTTCCAGCCATCACCCAAGCCTTCCTTAAAGACAGGGTTACATGGCACCAAGGGGCACATGAATCGAGTCGTCATCATCTCTGGGATTTCAGGGCTTAGGCACTTGAATGGATGGGTTGAACAACCAGGCTTACTACGAGCTGCAGCAAGCTCTCTTGGCCCATAAGAATAACAATGGCCAAGTGATGTCCCAAACTCTTGTGGCCTGCCTTACCTTGAGAGGGCTTCAAGGAGTGGTATGAGCTTACGTTGGTGAGGCCATGAGGGTAGATGTTGTATGGTCGGCTTGCCAGGTTCCTGAACACGATCTAAAATGAGGACAGCCAGTGGGAATATTTAATGCTTTCTGAACGTTGTGAGCCCTCGAGGCTGCCCTCAGTGTTCTTGCAGGGAGGGAAATGACGGGGAGTGGTGCTCTGGGATTGTCTACCTGCCAGCGTCCAATGGGGAGGAAGCCGGATGTATCTGGGACCACAAAGTAGGAGTCAGAATAGAAAAAGTGTCTTTATTTCTCTATCAGTCTACACTGCCCATCTTTTTTTTTGGGAAGTGCCCATTTTAAGGAAGGCATGAAAATATAAAATTTATTAAAGGGAAAGTCTTTAGTCTCACTTTGCATATGAGACAGAAGATGTCTGTCAATCCAGGAGGCCTCAAAGGACCAAGAGAGTAAATATGCATAGCAGTCAATAGCTTTCCACTTCACTGCATGAAGCCCTTCATTTATTTCTCTAAACATTTCTGTCAGGGCTTTGCCACTGGCGTTAACTTCAGCTTCATGCCCACAACTGCCCAGGGAACTCCAGGCAGGGAGCAGAAATGTGAAGCTCCTGGAAACCACCCCATTCTAGCAGCAAACAAGTCAAGTGGTCAGTAGAGGCACTTGGGGAGACACAAGTGACGGTCCCCAATACTGTATGGTAAGCATACATGGATGGAGAAGAGTGAAGGATGCAAGGACCCTCCTGCATCAGAGGAAGGCGCTGGATGTCATGTGTCACAGATTAATTTACATGATTCCCAAGACGCCTGTAATAAAGTCAAATCAAGGGGACTGAGCCACATCCTGCACATCTGTGCTGATCTAACTGAGAGTACTTAGCTTTAGCTTTCAGTAACATCTGTCTTTCTGGTGAACTTTGGACATTATAAAAAATAATTGAACACCTCAAGACCTTAGCTACACCTTAGTCAGACCTTAGTCACAAACGAAGAGCTATTAGGAGGAACAGCACTGAGATTTGAAATTTCCCCTTTCAGTCTCTCTTTGTGGATAGCAATATCTCTCACCTTAAACTGATCTCCAACCTCTCCCTTAATGACAGGCCCCAGAATTCCCTTGTCCAGTTGATCTGACACCTTGCGCTTCTTGAAGGTTGCATCCTCATACTCCACGAACATCACTTTCTTATACTTCGAACCAATCCGCTGAGGGCCAGCCTCCAAGAACAGGCTCGTGATGTTTCTGCAGGCAAGGCAGAGAAAGAGCAAACCGCCACATGCGGGATGCTGTCAGAACCAGAGCAAGACCTTCCATCATGCAAGGACTTACATAGCTGCCTGGGGACTACCAGTGCAGTGGGGACACATACATGCAATCACAATATGCATCCTGGGGAATAATGTTTCAAGTGATTTAGTGCTTCTTTAACGGAGAAAGCTTCAACTATGTTGCACAGCAGGAGCCTCAGGCTGACACTGCCCTGTCTTGGAGGGAAGTGGGGACTGAAAGTTGAGAGCATGGCAGGTTGTCCTGTGTCAGGGAACATTCCCAATACGTGGACATAAGGCAACAGAGCAGCTGCCTTTTCTTGATCATCCCAGCTCCCCCAGGAGCAACGCCAGCCCTAGGCCCAAGAGGACCTCCTTTGGCTTACCCTGCTGGTGGGGCTGCAGGTAGGGATTTCTGTCCCACGTGCTTTGGTCCAGTGGCTGCTAGCTGGGATTCTCGTCTAGGGCAGAACCCAGTGATCCCACTACCAAGCCAGCTCTATCTCACACAGCCTGTGTCAGCAGAGTGATGTTGGGACTGATGACAAGTAAGGTACTTTTGCTGAGATATTGCACTTGCATCACTTCTCCCTTGAAGTGTTTCTACCATCTAAGACAGGTCCTTCCAGACAGGGCAAGGAGATCCACACTCTGGGACTGCAGGCACATGTCCTGGCTGTGCAGGGCCTCCTGGCTAGAGGGTGACAAGGGTCACCAGGCATTGCTGCCAGCTCAGAAGGGGCTGACTGCAGAGACCTGGGTGGCAGACAAATGCCTCAGAGACAAATATCTCTGCAGGGCATTTGGTAAAATGGAGCAAAGCCACTTCCTCCCTTCTCATCTTCTCCCCAAGACCTTCCTTGTCCTGCATCCATATTGTTAACATTAATAAGGAAGAATAAAACTGTCCAGGTTGGGCACAAGGAAAATAAATTTCTGGGGGAAAAAGGAAGAGCTGGCAGGAGTGCCTCAAGGAGCAGCCTTATGGGCACACATGCCCACTCTCACCTGTCCAGAGACACTGGCTTCACAGGGGCATAGTCCCAGTCCATTTCTTCAGCTGCAATGTAGTGAGTCCAGGTCACAGGCTTCTCTTTAGCAAAAGAGCGCGCTTGGATCACATGATAAGTTTCCTCATCTTCTTCAAGGTAATCCTCTGGCTCATCTGACAGCTTTCCCATCCTCACCAGGCGCTCCTCCAGACACTCCTCCACCTTTACAATTGCCTCCATCCCAGCTGTGTATAGACAAGCCAAGCAGAAATGGTCACATCGACATGACAGCACAAGTGCACACTCCCCTAGACTGATGGGGAGATGTCCTCTCCACTACTGTCCCCATCAAATGGGTCAACCTATGCCATCCTGATTGCAGGCCAGATTGTGCGTGCATGTAACACCATGGAGCAGGAGGGGCTTTGGAGCTGCAGCACTGCATAAAACTCTGAGCCTGGTCCATCCCCTGAACTTCTTTTCCCCCGAGCTCTTGCAGAATAATTTACCTTGCTGATGGGACGGTATTTGGCAGAACATCCGAAACCAGCCAACTGTTCCTGGCATGGTCTGGGCTGTGAGATAAGTGGCAGGGGAGATTTCTAGGCTGCTGAGACGGTGGCCTCTCACCAGGAATGTGTGGGCTTCAAAGAAGATGGAGTGCACTTCTGGCCCTGTGCCCAACCCGATCACATGCCAGTGGACCTGCTTCTTGAGGCACAGTGTAAGACCTGCCAGGAGAGAAGGAAAGCAATCAGCACTGCGTCCATCCCTTTTCCCTGCTCTTGGTGTCATGGACTCGGAGCCTAACATGCTAAGCAGAGTCCTCTGCCTCATAAGGTGGTGGCTTCAAGCTGGAGAAGTCACATGTGAATGTGGAGTGTCTGAGCAAAACAGAAGCACAGACCAAATCATGTCCCTGAGATAAGACTAGCTTTACAGAGTGGAGGCTTTGGGAGGTGTGCTGATGGGAGCTCGCAATGGGATGCAGTGGTAAAAGAGGTAGATGTGCTCCTTGACTCCATAAATAAGGGAATTAGGAACAGGAAAGGGGAATTGTTTGTCTGATCCCAACACTGGCAATCTCACTACTAAAACATTGCATCTGGGGCATGACTCCTCAGCAATAGTTGAAATATCCCCAAAAGAGAAGAACGAGGTCACCAGGGTTATTTGAAGGCTGGAGAAAATTCCTTCCTTGGAGAGACTCAAAGAGCTCAGTGTCCTTAGGAAATGGGAGAGGACTTGACTGCATTGTAAAAATATTTTCCTGGGGAGAAATCAGGGTGTGCTGAAGGGCTCTAATCTAGCACGGAAATGAATAACAAGAACAAGTTCTTGGAAGCTGAAGCCAAAGAAAGTCAAATACAGAGTCAAGCACTTGTTTTTGGCCCTGAGCACGATAGGTGACTGGAACAGATCCAAGAGCCCAGAAGGAGACAGGGTGGAGGCTCTATCCTGAGGCCCTCAGCACTCCATTGCCACCTCTCAGGCCAAGTACCCCAGCCAGACAGGAGGTTGCTGGGTGGAGGTGGATACCTTCTTGAGGGGAAACCCACTGTGCAGACACAGTGGCTGACCACCAGATTCTACTTAGCTCTTAAGCTCCTTTGATTCACCAGGACAGGGAATTCAGGGAAGTTTTGCTTTTGCCTTTTATTGGAGAACAGCCAGACCCAGGTGGGAGGTTTCAGGGTGTGGTTCATTAGCACCAGGTTGCTAATGGTAAACACTGTCACTCTCCTGACAGTGTTTCCCAATTTTCCTTGGAGATTCTTCACTCTCAAGCAGCTCTTGACCTTCTCCAAGAAGAACATCAGGAAACGCTAACTTTTCTCTTCAATGAGACCACCAACAACCTTTTCTTTTGCTTTTCTGGAGAAAAGAAGGCTGAGGGGAGACCTTATCACTCTCTACAACTATCTGAAAGGAAGTTGTAGCAAGGTGGGTGTCAGTCCCTTCTCCCAAGTAACAAGTGATAAGGCAAGAAGAAATATCCTCAAGTTGCACCAGGGGGGTTTTAGATTAGATATTAGGAAAAATTTCTTCACTGAAAGATTTATTAAACACTGGAAAAGGCTGCCCAGGGAAGTGGTTGAGTGACCATCCCTGCCATTATTTGAAAGATGTGGCACTTCAGTACATGGTTTAGTGGTGGACTTAGCAGTAGTAGGTTTATGATTTGACTTGATGATCTTAAGGGTCTTTTCCAACCTAAATAATTCTATGATTCTATTCCCCAAATCCTACAGAGGTGTGTTGTTAGAGCCAGCCTAGTGAGCGCTGAATTTTCCCCTAAATGCTACCTCCAGCATCATTCACAGGGCTACTAGAGATAAAACTCTTTTTTACCAGCACTATTCCTGGAGACCTCTGAGGAGGTCAGCTGTAAGGAGGTCAGCAACAGAAACAGGTCCTGCCTCACTGTAAATGGGCAAGGCAGATCAAGGAGTTGAGGATGTGATAGTCCCCTGGGGTGAAAACAGCCCAACAGATCCATCACCTGGAAACTTCTCTTGATGTGCCTTCTCACATCCTTTCACAACCTACCTTGAGTTTATAGACCTGGCTACACCCCTGTTCCTACTCCTCCCATGTCCTCTATCCCTGTCCCCAGCACACCAGTACTCACCAGGCAGTGAGCCATTGATGTAGCCATTGATGGTGTGCATCTCTGGCCTGTTGTGTGGCAGGGGAGCTGTTGCAGAACCAGTCTCAGAGTACCAGCTTTTCCCTGTGGAGAGAGGAGGATGCAAGTGAGCTTTCACTTGAGAGCATTTCTAAGAAAAAAGAAACCTTCCCACTGTTGTGAAAATATGAAAGCCAAAATCCTGGGAGATCAGATGTGTGGTACCTGTTGGAAATCCACAGCAGGCCTGGCCACAACTCTGCATCAATGTGGTGGTGACCATTGCACATGAGAGAGCATTATTTCCCCACAGCTTTAGCCTGCGTGATGGGAACAAGGCCAGGGCATGGGAGAGGAGAGCTGAGGCGGCTGCAAGTTCCCTGCGCCTGAGACACAGAAGGAGTGGCAGTACTTCACCAGGAGCACTGGTTGCAGGGCCTGTAAAAGGCTCAAACCCTTGGGAGGCAGAGTGGGAGCTCACACCATGGCCAAAACGTGCGCACCAAATCAGGCTGAATTCAGGGTCTGACACCAGTCGGCAGGGTAGTTACCTTCATCAAACACTGCGAAGAGCATCACAAACTTTTGCTGCATGTCCTCGTTCCCATCACTTGCCAGGGTCCCTGCAAGATGCCATGGGATGGATCTCATTACAAGTCAGCAAGCAGCATGCTCATCTCCCCAGGGAATTCCCTTTGTGCCCTCCGAGAACTGGTAAATCAAGGCCAGGCTGTGGATTGCTTTTGTCATGTCTCAAGACTGGCACAGCCTTGTTTCCAGCCTTGCAGTCCCCGAAAGCCCATGGTTGAGAGGCAGCTGCCCTCAGAAGGCATTGAAATGTCAGTTTGTGCTGCTTTCCCCTTGCAGGCTCTCAGTCTTACTGTCTTCACTTAGTCACCTGCAAGAGCCCATTTTATCTAGCCCCTTCATCAGCACCATTGTCTGCACTTGCACTTGTGGAGAAACTGCTCCTGGTGAATCACTGGAGCCTGCAGACAGTGCCCTGGAACATGACTTGCACTCATTCCTCTCCAGTGACTATAGAGGGGTCCAGACAACTGCTTCCAGGAGATGGCTCAACCAGGGATGACCAGTCTCACCCTAGGTACACTTCTCAGTGCCTTGCACCCAGCAAGTATTAACAGGTAGGATTCCAGCACCTCCAGTGTTTACTGAAGGAAGGAGAGCAGGCACAGGTGTCGTGGACCAGGCAGTGCCCTAGGTGTCTTGCCTCTCTCCTGCCTGATCCTTAACCCCTGCTGATACAAACTCCCCTCTATTTCTTCCAACAAAACCCTTTTTGACAAAGCACCCTGGCTGACACTTACTGATCCAAGCTTAGTGAAGCTCTGAAAGACAAAAATTCAGAGGGACCTTGACAGGCTGGAGAGGTGGGCCTGTGAGGACCTCATGAAGTTCAACAAGGCCAAGTGCAAAGTCCGACACGTGGGTTGGGGCAATTCCATGCACAAGTACAGGCTGGGCGGAGAATGGATCGAGAGCAGCCCTGAGGAAAAGGACTTGGAAGTGCTGGTGGATGAGAAGCTCAACATGAGCCGGCAATGTGCGCTGGCAGCCCAGAAAGCCAACCTTATCCTGGGCTGTATCAAAAGGAGCGTGGCCAGCAGATCGAGGGAAGTGATTCTGCCCCTCTACTCTGCTCTCGTGACACCCCACCTGGAATACCGTGTTCAGCTCTGGAGTCCCCAACACAAGAAGGACATGGAGCTGCTGGAACGAGTCCAGAGGAGGCCACAAAGATGATCTGAGGGCTGGAGCACCTCTGCTATGAAGACAGGCTGAGAGAGTTGGGGCTGTTCAGCCTGGAGAAGAGAAGGCTCCGGGGTGATCTTATAGCAGCTTTCCAGTACCTAAAGGGGGCCTACAGGAAAGCTGAGGAGGGACTTTTTACAAGGGTGTGTAGTGATAGGACAGGGTAAATGGCTTTAAATTGAAAGAGGGCAGATTCAGATTAGATATAAGAAAGAAATTTTTTACATTGAGGGTGGTGAGGCACTGGAACAGGTTGCCCAGAGAAGTTATAGATGCCCCACCTCTGGAAGTGTTCAAGGCCAGGTTGGATGAGGCTTTGGGCAACCTGGTGTAGTGGAGGGTTTCCCTGCCCATGGCAGGGGAGTTGGAACTAGAGGATCTTTGAGGTCCCTTCCAGCCCAGCCCATTCCGTGAGTCCATAATTTATGCCTCCATAGCAATTTACCTTATGGATAGATAAGGTCCAGATAAAAGGTAGAAGATTTCAGCTGTGGTCTGAAATATTGCACAGGAAAGAAGCAACTGATTTCTCACCAGAAGGGAAATCCAAAGTGTGTTTGGCTCCTGCACTGGGAAAGACTCTTTGAGGAAAGGGCCAAACCCTAAAAGTACTGTTGTAGACCACAACTTACTGACTCCACTGCCATGTTCAGCCACTGGAAGGCATCTTTGATTTTTCTGCTTTTCAGTTCATGATTGCATGTGACCTGTCCTCATCCTCTACTGTCCTTACCAGGTCGGCACACCAGCAGGGCACCGATCAAACCAGAGTTGATATCCTTCACACTGTCGGTGTTGGAGGAGTAGGAGTGGGTCAAGCATAGTGTGTCGCCATCCATTGGGCCTTGGTTTTGCTGGATTTCCCAGATGTATGTGTGTGTCTTTCCTGGATCCACCCTGTCACCCTCCTTCTCCTGCTGGCTGGTCTCATCTTCATACCCTGCACCTAAAGCCAAAGGAACAGACACATTTCAGTGGAGGCTCATCCCAAACACACTGTGGCTACAGAAATACCTCTTTCCCCAACCCGGAGCACAGCCTTTCTCCACCCCAGCCCCTAGGCCCAGCCCAGCTCCCACCGGTGATGGCTGGTCTCAGGGCAGTGAGCAGAGCTGTGCTGGAGACTTGCTCTGCACTTGCTGTGCACCCACCATGTGCCCTGGTGCTGGAGGGCACAGTCTTCCTAGCACTAAGCATCCAGACCTCTGGTTTAACCTATGTATTACCTCTATAACTGATACAGGTTTGCTCATCTCAGCACATTTCTGGGCTGGACATGGTCTTGTTGTTCCCCCAGGCTAAGGCATCTCCGTGACTGTCTGTTCACATAGATTCATATGAATCGCAGGGTCAGGGAGGGATGTGCTCCTTCCTGGCAGGCAGCAGAGCGGGATGCACGGCACAAGGCTTGCAGCACCTGGCTATTGGCTGACTTACCCTCTGACGCTTTCCAGTAGGAGACTCCAACGGCATGGAGGTTGTACGGGCGGGAGGCCAGGTTCTTAAACATGATGACCACCGTGTCATAGACTTCTGCTTGGATAGTGGGGCCCAAAAGACCTGAAGGAGAGAAGACACCAGAGTCAGGCAGCAGGGGTCAGGCATCTCACACCCAGCCACGGGCCCCAAAGGGTTTGGGCTTTCCACCTGCACAATTAGCGGTTGTCCCTCATGTAGCATGGCAGCATCAACAGCTCCGGCACCAGCAAGGCTCCCCAGCAGCCCTGCTGTACTGGGACTCTAGCCAGGTGCTTTCCCATTCCTAGCCAAGGAGCTGCCAGCCCCCAACCCAGGAACAGTTGGCTGCTGTCAAAGAGAACTAGGGCTCACCACGCTGCAGGTGCTTCTTACCCATCCATGCTGGCTTGGGCTTGGGCTGTGTGAACGAGGCATCAGGGTACTCCACAAACACAGCCTTCCTGTACTGGGGAGAAACACCAGGTGTGGGGAGCCGTGGGCCCAGGTGCCCCGACATGCTGCAGGAGGAAGAAAAAGCCAAGGCTGATTGCACAACCCCATCCATGGATGGGCAGCAGCCATCCTCTTGCCTGTGCCATGCTGGCTCCAGAGGTCACTCACCCTGTTGTGTACTTTGGGTTTCCTGACAACCCTAAGGTGTGTTTGGAAATGTTTTTCTCAGCTCAAGGATGACAATGTGGCAATGATCAATGTCACAGTGTTAGTCACAATGAAAGAAGACATAACGGCAGGAGGCACAGCGTTGTACCCAGCTGCAGATGGGAGTGGGCATAGCCATAGGCATCACTGCCAGCCTCCTGTCTTGTGCCTTTCCTGACTTTGTGCTTCCCCACCAGCGGAGACCCGGGGCACTGAGAGTGCTGCGATAGCAGTGCCATGTTGGCCTCTGTCCCGCAGCTGCGCCCCACCCCATCCCCAGCACGTTCAGGAGTGGCAGACACATGACATCACACATAACCTTGAGCATCCTCCCTCGGAAAGAAACTGTGTTGGGCTGCATGGCAGGTCACAGCAGTTTGCTCCACAGTCTGAGCAATGTCCCCACATTTGTTTCTTTTCTGACCAAACTGGAGTTTACAGCCAGCCCCTAAAAAACTACTCCTTGCAGCAGAAGCATAAAGGAGCCTTGAACACTTTTTTTGCTACACTTACCTCCACTGGCCATTTTCTTTCTATAAGCAGTTTAACAAATTCATTTTCCAGAAGGAATCCAGGAATTATGATAACAAAACCCATTAATTTCTCCAGGGATTTTAGAGGCTGGCTTATCAGCCTCAGGACTGAGACCATTTCCAGTAATCAGATAAGCTGCTTCCAGTCTTGTTTTATTTGCAAAAAACAGGTGGTATTTTCTTCTCTCTGAAGAAGCAAGGAGATTCCCCTCTGACTAAGCCTTCATTCAAGCAGTGGTTCCTTTTGTGACTCTTCCTCAAGAGGAAGAGGAAGGAGCCACAGTGACTCAAATTTAGGAAGCGGTGACGCACACTCACCCCCACGCTGCTGGCTGGAAGCCACCTGCAGCTGGAGAATACTGTGGGGAGAGTAGGAGTTCACGGTTCACCCTCCTGGGGCCAGAGCAGGATGAGCACGCAAAAAAAGCCATGCATGCCCACCTCCAGCCTTTCCCACCATGGCTAGAACCCCGTGTTCAGGCTGGCAGGAAGCCCCTAGCAGACATGGCTTCAGTTGACTTTGTTGGAGTTGTTATCATTCAGCTGACTTTGCCTTCGAGTTGTTATCATTCCTTGCTTGATGGCAGTAGGCTCTAGACCAAACTTTGCTCTCTAGCGTGACCTCATGCTGGAAGGCAGCAATGCCATGGGGTTGCTGGCACTGGGCTTTCCACTGTGGGGAAGCTGTGCCTTAATCTCTAACTCAAGGAATCTCATCCCTGACATATGAAGGTCTGGTCCTGCTAATTCTGTGGTAAACAAGGCAGAAATCCTGCGGAGCCAGGGAGATTTTGCTGGCATGCAGAGGCATGGCTAGGAGAAGATGTCGTGACATCAGTGCTAGGTCCCAGCTGGCACAGCAAAGCCTTTGCAGGGGATGAGGAGACAGAGTTTGGCACAGGGACATCTGATCCAAGTGCTTCTGGATAGTCCTCTGCACTTGGGTTCCCCGTGGACTTCCTATGTCAAGGGTAGCTGAAGCCAAGGCAGGGAGATAGGTTCCTGGCGCCTTCAATCAGCATTGTTAGCCGCACTATCTGTTCATCTCAGAGCCGGGAGATGGACAAGGTAAACACTGCACCGCCGAAGAACTCAAACACGGGCTGCTGCTGCTACATGACTGCCAGCTCCGAGCCGGAGCAGAGATCTCTGGGGCCATCACAGGTCGTTCTAGTCCTAGCTCTGACTCTGCTGATAGGGTTGTGTTTGGGAGGAAGAGAAACTGAAATCATGGGAAAGGTGTAAGCAGCTCTGGCCTGGTGTGCTGTAGCCCATTCATTTGGCAGAGCTTTCCACAAACATGCCAGAGAAACCACTGGATACATACAGGGGTTTTGGAGACACTGCCTGGAGGTGCACCCTTGGGGGCTGCCATGAGATGCTGGTACCACAAGGGATAACGGGTGGAGCAGAAGACACCTTATGCACAGATTGGAGGCACCTCAATTTCAGCGGCAGCTCTGCTCCTGCTACGCTTTCCTGGCACATTCCTGCATGCCCCTTCTCCCCAGCCTGGCTATTTTCCTGTGCCTTCCCCACACGAGGGGAACCAGGCTGATGCTGCAGGGCTAGGGAAAAGACACTGTCATCCAGCTGTGAACAACCATGCCAAGCAAGCCCCAGTTCCCATCACGACTCCCCAGGGAGCCAGGCTGCCCAGGTGTGCCTTATCTCTCTGGGTAGGGCACACTGCACACCACCAAGCTCTTCTGGGAAAGCCGAAGTTCCCCATTTTAGAAAAGGACGAGTGACCTCAGACTGACTACTGGTGCCCTGCTTGTCCCTAGGGCAGAGCCAGCTCCCTGTATCATTCCTGGGCCAGAAACAGTGTGCAAGCATGTCATTAAAGCCAGACCTGAAATGGAAAGCCAAAGAGTTAAATTAACAGCGTGAGTGACCTCACCTCCACTGTAGCCTAATGTATCTGAGTGCAACATTAGTAAAAGGAGGGCGGGGGGGCGACATTAGTGAAGCAGGGGGTGCTGGAGGCAGTTTTCCTATTGAAGTAACCAAAGCAGGGCTAAAACAACGTAACTTTGATACAGTGACTATGGCAGGCTGACCTGGGTCATCACCAGAGTCCAGTTTCCCATACCTGACCACAACTCCTTGCTGTCAAGCCAGCGTGGGTCTGAGACGAGGCCGTGGGCTAACATCGCCTCAGCACGGAGCCCGGGGAAGGGGATGTGACAGCAGGGCAGAGGGAAGGGGTACGGATTGATCCACAAGGGATGCAGCTCTTCAGCTCTGCTCCCCATACTGAGCTCAGAACAGCCCATGCACAGTGGTGCATGTCCAAAGCAGCTGCGTCTCCAGACACCATTCTGATGTCCGAGCAATGCAACTGCCACTTTTCCTTCCTAATCCAAAGTGTTTGGGCAAAACCACCATGCCTTCCTCTCTCTTGTCACTGAGTAAAAACACCATTCTTTGCCCAAAAACTAAAAATTATTTTCATTTCCTAAAGAAAAAAGTTTCAGCCCCAGCATTGTAATGTACACAAACATACAAATAACTAAAGCTGGGTTTTACCAAGGCCAGACACAGTGGAGAGCCTTTAACTGCTCCTAGTTATGTCAGGAGGCACAGCCAACCTCTGCAGCCCTGAGGAAGGGAGGCACAGGATGCCATCTCCTATCACACGTCCCCAAAGCTCCCAGGATGCAGACCACAAGCTGGAGAAACAGCTCTTGGCACAGACTTTAAAGGGTCACAGGCAAAGAGCATTAAGATAAAGCAGCACAGAGCAGCAGTGCAGAGCAGGTCTGCATATCTCTCTGCAGATTTATTTCACCTGTGCATTATCAGAGGTTGCATTTAGTTGCTCCTCATTGCACAGAAACACCCATTCCCAGCTGTACCAGCAGCTCAGTGAGCCCACCCTGACAAGTTGTCCCCATACATCTGCCTACCTGGACCCAGGCTCACAGCACTGTGCATGCCAGGGTGGAAGAACACCAACAGGAGGGTGCTGGAATTGCAATAGAAAGAACTTTACCGTGCAGGTGCTTGCAGCACGGAGAGAAGGTCGCTGTGCATGTAATCCCAGGCAGTCTCCACTGCACCAATATAGTATCTCTTGACTTTGCTGATGCCCTCGTCAACCAGGCAGAGGAGCAGGAGGCTGCTCAGGGCTCCCACCAGCATTGTGCCCACCAGCTGGGAACTGCTCCGGCTTCAGAAGGAGAAGTGAAAAGGAAGGAATGAGAAAGGAAAGAAGAGAGAAAAAATTTATCTTCTCATCCAGCTATTGTAATCCACAGAAGATGACGATTTAAAGCCAGCACCCACGGGCTCACTCAGAGTGCTGTAGTTTCTCAAAGACATCAGGAGAGGATTCACTCGAGCGGGTTTGTGTAAACAGGAGCGAGTGAGCAAGAAACTCCCCCTCTCTTCCTCTGGGGTGGCAGTGTCAGGAGTAGAGGAAAAAACAAAAGGAAAGGGAGGACAAGAGCAGTGGTAAGCTCTGCTGCAGAACCCAGTTGGCTCGGTGTCCTGGCCTGTGTCCAGCAGCAAGGTGAGGAAAGGGAGGGTTACAGAGGAAGGGGAATTTAGGTGTGGTCTCTGCCTGGACCAACATTCCTTCTCACTGAAGAGGGGGAGGAGGAGACTGGGTTGCAGGCAGTGCCCTGCTGCTCTCAGGCTACAGGAGCCTTTATTTCCCTCCACAGATCAGTCTGGGCTTGTACCTGAGGCTGGAGTGCCCCAGGGAGTTGGCAGCTGCCTTCAGTACCTGCTAGTTTACAAAGCCTGAGGAAATGGCAATTTGGGGGGGGAATTTGCCTTCAGGATGCAGATGGCTTATTGCTATGAAGCAGGAGAGGCTGTCCCCTCGTCCCCCAGCGCTGGGAATCTGCAAGGCACTTTGCATTTGCAGGGGCAGGGCTGGAGGCCAGGAAACAGCAAGAGATGCACGTATACCTGGCTAACAAGGGAGGTACCAGCTGACTGGAGGTTGGCAAACCTGACATCGATCAACAAGAAAGGTAAGAGGGAAGACCCAGGGAACTACCGGCCTGTCAGTCTGACCTCATCGCCAGGTAAACTCCTGGAACAGATCATCCTTAGTGTTGTCATGTACAAGACAGTCAGATGATCAGGCCCAGCCAACATGGATTTATGAAGGGCAAGGTCTTGTTTGACCAACCCGATCTCCTATGATAAAATGACCCGTTTAGTGGATGAGAGAAGAACTGTGGGTGTTGTTTACCTCAATTTTAGCAAAGCCTTTGACACTGTTTCCCATAATATTCTTCTGCAGAAGCTGGCTGCCTATGGCTTGGAAGAGTGTACGCTTCGCTGGATCAAAAACTGGCTGGACGGCTGGGCCCAGAGCGTGGTGGTGAATGGAGTTAAATCTAGCTGGCGGCCGGTCACCAGTGCTGTTCCACAGGGCTCAGTGTTGGGGCCTGTTCTCTTTAACATCTTTATCAATGATCTGGATGAGGGATTGAGTGCACCCTCAGCAATTTTGCAGATGACACTAAATTGGGAGGTAGTGTTGATCTGCCTAAGGGTCAGGAGGCTCTACAGAGGGACCTGGACAGACTGGATTGATGGGCCGAGGCCAACTGTATGAAATTCAACAAGACCAATTGCCGGGCCCTGCACTTAGGCCACCACAAACCCCTGTAGCGTTACAGGCTTGGGGAATTGCAGCTGGAAAGCTGCACAGCAGAGAAGAACCTGGGCGTGCTGGTCAACAGCCCATTGAACATGGGCCAGCAGTGTGCCCACGCAGCCAACAGAATCCTGGCATATATCAGAAACAGTGTGGCCAGCAGGAGCAGGGAAGTGATTGTCCCCCTATACTCAGCACTGGTGAGGCCACACCTGGAGTACTGTGTCTAGTTTGGGGCACCTCACTTCAAGAAGGGTGTTGAGGTGCTGGAGTGGGTTCAGAGAAGGGCAACAAAACTAGTGAAGGGTTTAGAGAACTTGTCCTATGAGGAGCGACTGAGGGAGCTGGGACTGTTTAGTCTGGAGAAGAGGAGGCTCAGGGGGGACCTTCTCGCTCTCTACAATTACCTGAAAGGAAGTTGTAGGGAGATGGGGGTCGGTCTCTTCTCCCACGTTATGAATAACAGGACGAGAGGGAATGGCCTCAAGTTGCACCAGGGGAAATTTAGTGACTTTAGCAGGAAAAATTTCTTTACAGAGAGGGTTGTGAAGTATTGGAACAGGCTGCCCAGGGAGGTGGTGGAGTCCCCATCCCTGGAAGTGTTTTAAAACCGTGTAGATTTGGTGTTGAGCAATATGGTTTAGAGACCCTGACAGTGCAGGGCGAATGGTTGGACTCGATGATCTTGAAGGTCTCTTCCAACCAGGTGATTCTATGACTCGTGGGGTGTATCCCTGTGCCCTGGGTGCCTGCACCCCAAGCAGTGATGATTTAGCCACACAACCTCACTTCAAGCCACATGGGAGGGAGAGGGTTGAGGTGACCCCTGGGAGGCCCCCTCCTGCCAATTGCTCCTCACCTTTCTCTTCTTGCAGGGTCCTGCAGAACAGCTCAGAGAAGATGCACTGAAACATTTCTGCAAATTTTTTCTGTTTTAAAATCACAAATTTTCCGTATCTTTTTAAAAGCCCAGGAAATCCCCCACACTCACCCCAAGGCACACATGTATGCTCACACACACAGAGGCATGTGGTGGTTCTTTGGCTCACAGAGGCAGGAAGATGAGGAGGAATGCCCTGCATGGTCTCAGTGTCTGCTGGGTGAGTGAGGTGGGGAAACATCCCATAAATCACACTGTAGGCCAGCTGGACTGCAACGGCGGCAGCAGCCCCTTTGGTGACAATTCCATCCATGTGACAGGTCTTGATGCCGGAGCAGCAGAGGGAGTGATGGGGATGGTGGAGTGATGGGTGTTTTCGGGTCCCAGATCTGAATGCTTAGCATGGGGTGGGACTGGTGGGAGACAGATGAGCCTCCCAGGTAGAGGCAATCCCATCAGATATGTGGACATATTCCTCAATGTCCCACTGCCCTGTGTAGCACATCGTAGCCTGGGAATGACCTTAAGAATCACAGTCGCACAGGCTCAGCGTGCAGGAGCACCCCATGTGCATGAGGTCATTGATGGCACTCTGTCCCCCTCCCTCAGAGTGGGGCAAGTTCTTGCCACCTCCCTGAGGACATCTCATCTCTTCCCACCCCTCTCCTTATGGCAGCCTTTGGGCCTGAGGGGTAAAACCATCCCTGGCAGCTGTGTCTGGCTGGAGCACTCAAAGCACCAGCAGGAGCACCTGAGGGGACTTCCATTTGACCCGTGTAAAACCTCAACCCGCAGAGGGGCTGCCCACTCCCTCCTGCACTCACGCCAGGCTTGGCTGGGGCGGGAAAAGTGCTCCCAGGCTGGCGCAGCAGAAGCTGGGGCAGAAAGCGCTTCCTGGCTGGCGCATCAGGAGCTGGGGCAGAAAGCGCTCCCAGGCTGGTGCAGCACCCACCTTGCATATGGAGAGGCAAAAAGTCAGAGAAACACATTTCCTCTGGCTTGTGTGCTGGTGGCTGGCTCCGTGCCCAGCCTGAGGCTCTTTTTCTTTGTGAGGAAGATGAGCAACAATCCGCCTTATGTTTCCCAGTATTTTGGGGAAGAATCAGTGGTATGTTACATTTGGGAATGGCCCAGGTGCTTCGCACCACCTGCTCTGGCATGGTGAAGTAGAAGAGTTATTGGTCAGTGCTGGAGGGGAAAAGGGTTGTCTGGAGGTCCAGGAGAGGCATGGGAGTCTCGGGCTGCGCTTCTGGTACCGGTGTTTCCGGCACTATGGACATGACTTTATTTTAGTCATCCCATCTGGGGATTTCCCGGTGCTGTGAGACTATGCTCACCTGGAAAGGCTGGAAAAGATGTTTCTTCTAGAAACAAGTAGATGGAGAAAACATCGCCAAGCAGACAACGTGACTGTGAAGAGGACAGCTGGGTGTGGCAGCGCAGGATAGGCACGCAGGAGGGTTGGGCTTGGCTGTCGGGAGGGGTCCTCCAGCTCTCGGTGCTGGAGATCTGCATGGGGCAGCATAGGGGTTTCTTGCCTCTAACCCCAACAGGCATGCTCCAGGCACCATGGGATGACAACATCCAGAAATCATGGAGGGGAGTAAGGCAAAGCTTTACTTGGGGGCTGCAGTGCCAGGAGCCTGGACACAGTCAGAAATTAATGGTTATGACACTGGCAGGTGCTGAATTGCTGAGTTTAAAAATTATCAGCTAAAAAGAGGTAGCTCCAGGTTCCTGACCCAGAGCCATAAGAGTAAACTGGAGATATGGGGTCTAATCTGAGGGAGCAGAAAGAAAATTATAGTATCAAGATACTTGAGGCTGAAGGAATGGGACTCCAGGTGTGAAACTGGAGGACACTTGGAAATAACTTAGGCAAGGGGCCGAGATCCTGCACTGGCTGCATGCAGTGGGTAGCTTTGTGCAGGCATGTGAGAGCCAGTGCAGAGTGAAGTGTGCCGAGGACAGCCAGGCATCTGCAGGGAGCCCAGCTCCCTGGCATAACCTGCTAAGCCAGAGCCCACGTGCCCCAAAAAGAGCACACGTGGCCCCAGAAAGTGGGGCATCAATAGCAGCTCTGGCACTTCCGAGGGCTCTGCAAACCGATGTGGGTGCCACTGCAAAGTGTCAGCATCACCCATGCATGGCTGGGCTGGCTGGGCCAGGCAGTAGCAGATGGCTGTGCCTTTGAGAGAGCTGCATAGAAGCAGTGGCATCCTGGTCCTGCCTGAAGTGAGGCACAGCATGAGCACATCTGCCCACCCCCAGCCTCCCCAAGAGACAGCGCCAGGACACTGTCCTCCCATGCAAATGTGATGGGAAAGCTAGGACAGGCTCCTGCCACTGAGAGTCGGAGAAATCTGCTTGACCAGAGCCAAGGACCCACCTGCATGCAGAAAGCACCATTTGTTTCCCCACATTGTGCAGTTCTCAGTTCAATATGGGGCTGAGGCAGATAAAAATGACTTAGAACAAAGTGAGCCATGTCTAATCTCTCCTGGGACTTTTTGTGTGCATGTGTGTATGTATGTGAGACAGCAAGTGAGTGACTCATGGTAGCTTCTCTGGAATGCAGAGTATCTTGGAAATGCCACCCATAAGGCACTCAACCTTTCCAGCACTCAGATGGGCAGAGGGCACCGAGACACTGGCTATGCTGCGTGGCACTGGTGGAGGTCCACAGTAGAAGGACCAGGCATGGCCCCTTGTACCAGTGCTTCTGAGCTGAAGCATCTCCCACTGCTGCCCGTATCCCACCTGGACCCTGCCTGCCCTGGCGAGGGCTTGGTTTTGGTGCATGGCTGCTTCAGAAAGAGAACAGCAGCCCAACGGTGGGCAGGACACATCCCTGCTATTCCACAGACATGCCATGGGCAAGTCACCTCTGTGTGCGCTTGTCACGCTTCCTCCTCATGCTGCTGGGCACAAGCTGCTGGCTGGTTCCTGGCCAGCCTGCCAGCCATGCCCAGCTGGATGCATGCCGCGCTGACTCATTTCACCAAACACCACAGGAAATCCCTTTCACTTTGCCAGCGACTCCCTGTACAGGTGGTGTGAAGGATGCTGCAGGGGTTTCCAACCTCCTCTCTGGAGCCAGGTCTAGGGTTTAGTCACAGGAGACATGTTTATCCCATGTAACCAGGCCCACTGTGCTCTGCAAGGGCAGAGGTGCTTTAGGGAAGCTGCTTTTTTCAGACTCATTGTCTCAGTTAGGAAGCAAAACCAGTAAACCAAACCATCAGCCAAAGAAAGCATCTCTTAGTGCTTTTGTCTCCATCCAGGCTGCTGCAAAATCAGTCTAAGTGGAGAGACAAACCCTGGCCCTAGTGCAAATAAATCAAAGCAGGAGCAAAACCCAACCCTGTCCTCGGGGTGAAAAAACTCTCTCCTTTGGAATCAAAGCTCCAGGCTAGCGGAGAAATGCCTGGTTGACTTTGCTTGGCAGCTGCACCCCAGCAATAACAGAGCAAAGAGGGGCTGCAGCCCTGTGCAGCTCACAGAGCAGCTGACCCACAGACAGCAGGACCCTGAAGGAGAAGCAGCAGCACAGTGAAGCTGATGGCACCAACAGCCCTGCGTATCCAGCAAATATGGCCCTGAGGTTCCCCAGCCCCGGAGCAGAAATACTGATGTAGAGGAGGTCCCAAATTTAAGCCTGCTTTTCTCCCTTGGCTTTCCTTGCAGTAATTGGGTCAGTGGAGCACTTCTACTTCCTCATTTCTCACATCAGAGGCGTCTCTGAATGATTTAGGCAGCCGGAGCACAATGGCCATGCTCCTAACTCAGGGCACCTGGGGGCTGTGCCTGCAGAAGCTGGGGAGGACAAGCATTTCGAGGGGCACACCGGCCAGAGGCTGCTCCGAATGGCTGCTGGCTTCACATGGCTATTATAAAAGGATCTTTTTTCCTCAAGTGTCAGAGCAGCCCAGGGAAAACCAGACCAGCCTCCAGGCACACAAGTCCTTTAGAAGTTACCTATTTACTCTGGCTGATTAAATGAAGCTCAGAGCAATTGCTCTTCCCTGGGCTTGCTTTGAGGGTTGCTCCTACTAAGTCAGCTTGGAGATAGGGTCAAATTCCCAGGAGGTGTCTGGTTTTTGATGTCTGTTGTGTGCTGTGCTTAGGTTGTCTCCTGAGACATCCTGGCTGCTACAAAAACTCTTGGAATAAGCCTCAAGCCCCCAGGGCTGCTCATATTCAGCAAAGCTTCATCTGCACCCCCCAAGAAGTGGCTCTCCTCCTGTGGTTGAGGCCATGAGAAAGGGGCATGATGGTGCCCTGCCTTACCTGTACCCCTGGTATTCAGTGTTGCTGGACCCTGGCATCCTCGCACTGATAGAGCTCCTGGCAAGCCAGAAAAGGAGCTAAATTTAACAACAGGAATTTAACAGCACTCCATGGGAATGGCTGTTCAAGAGAAGCGCTGTCCCAGAAAACTCCTCTCTCAATTGTTGCCACAAAGAAAGGACAACTGGATCCAGTGATCTGTAGCAAGCTCCTGCACAGCCTGAAGCCTTCCACCCAGCTGGTCCCCAGCCCGAGGCTGTGCCTGTCGCTGAGGCAGAGCCCTGAGCCTGGGGATGCTGCTGCACCAAGTGTCCATGGTTGTCCCTGCACTGTGCTCAACTTGTCTCTACGTGCCCAGCCCAGGCCTTAGGGCTGGCAGGGGTGCCTGTTGGCCAGGCAGTGACAGGAGAGGGTGCAGACTCATGAGATAAAGGGATTGTCAGGGAACATGGACCAGGATCCTGACCATGTGCGCCAGGCCAGCGCCGTGCACGCGCTGTGTCCACTGGTGTGCCCTTGTGCACGATCGTCCCCGCTGCTGCTGCGGCAGCACTGCCAGCTCAGGTGTGGTTCCATGGGCACCCTCAGTCCCTGTCCCCTGTGCCATGGGCGGCTCTGCCCTGGAGTCTCCTGGGAGGAGCAGCTCAGAGCATCAGCACAGCACAAGGGGCCTGTGGCATCCCAGGGAGGGACAAAGGGAGCTCCAAGGGTATCCTCAGTGTCCCAGAGTCCATGGCAGTTTGCTCCCTCTGATGTGGGAGGCCTGTGCTCATCTGCGAGCTGTCGCTTCACAGAAACAGTGCCTTTTGTCGTTTGCTTAAAACAAACACAAGAGATTCTCCTGGTAGCTGTACTAAGGCACATAAAAAAACCCAAGTGTTTGGTGACAGCCAACACGGCTTCACTAGGGGCATCGTGCCTGACTAATTTACTGGCTTTCCATGACAAAGCTACGGTGCTGGTTGACATAGGTAAAGCAACAGATGTCATTTTCCTGGACTTTTGCAAGGCATTTGACACTGTCCTATATGACATCCTTGTTTCTAAAATGGAGAGACATGGATTTGACAGATTGACAACTCGGTGGATAAAGAACTGGCTGGATGGTCGCACTCAAAGAGTTGCGGTCAATGGTGCGATGTCTACATGGAGACCAGTGTCACACGGTGTCCATCAGGGGTCTGTTCTGGGTCCAGTGCTGTTCAACATCTTTGTCAGCGACATGGATGATGGCATTGAGTGCACCCTCAGTAAGTTTGCCGATGACACCAAGTTGTGTGTGCCGTGGACTCACTTGAGGGAAGAGATGCCATCCAGAGGGACCTTGATAGGCTTGAGAATTAGGCCAGTGCTAACTGCATGAGCTTCAACA